TTTAATATAATTGCTCTATTTTAGGGGCCACTTTCCAGTTATACTTGAGCCACAGCATCAAGCTCAATATGGATGGCCGCTGTTCAGAAATGAGGTTGGGATCTGAGAACAAGACTCGATAACGATATCATCCTATTCATAATGGCTTTCAAATATGTTAACACGTTGCATGGTAATAAGTTCCCCAGGAACTGAAGACTTAAGAATCTGTTCATAAACAAAAAATTTCAAGATAAGACTTTACCAATATCGAAATGGCCATATATTACTAAGGACAAACCTGCAAGTTTATTGCTAGCTTCTTGAAGAGCCAAAACGTATTCAATGTAACTCTGTAAGAAACATGTTCCTGTAGTAGTTTCTGCTGGAAGAGCCACCTGAAAGATGAGTGTAATTGTTAAAATATTATAGCAATGGAAATATGAAAAAATATATGTTACAAATTGTTAGCTGTAACACTTCCAAGTGAGGTTAGATGAATCACCTTAATTCCATTATATCCTAGCCGCTCCCCAAGCCCACCAGCAACAAGAACGAATGCCGCCTTCCGGACTTCCTTTACACCTCTTTCCTCAAAGCTGATAAAGCTATCATCACCGAAAGTCAAAACTTCACCAGTAGGAACCTACAGAGCGGTCACCCAGGGATCAACCAAAATTATACTTCATCGACTACAGTACAATACGAAATACATCACTTGAAGGATGATGAAAGTTGAGGATATCTTGTCATAAGAAAGAAAAAATCACTATACCGTAACTTAGGATTCTACACTTCAGTTACTATTAAGTAATTGATCTTTTATACGTAAACTAACTTCACGATGAAGAACATTATATATAATGTGTTTCCTAGTGTTCAATAAATCATTTAAATGCACACCTCAAAGTGATCTATATTCTTTATGACACTGTTCGAATGCTAGCAAGTATCATGGAGGACTTTTTTTATAATTCTCTGACTTTTGTGGGCTTTGATCTTGTTCATTTCATTTTTTCAGTGAAATTAGTTTCTCAACCCAGAAAAAGCGTACAATAGATAGAGATTCTATTGTTGCAGTACAATTTAAATCTTAATATCCATCTCTCATCACCTCCTAATAAAAATAAGAAAATTTTCCGGCTGAACCAACAACTACCACAATGTGCTAATTACATAACATCCATTACCAAATTGCAGCAGTATGGAGAGAGCATTTTTCAACAACGGTACGAGGTACGAGTTTTTTACTTACGGAGGGAATGAAGCCATCAAATGGGTTCTTTCCTGCTTTAGAGTCCGCTAAGAGTCCTCTGGCAGTCTGGATATAGGAGGCCAAACCCCCAGGATAGCTAGAATTAAGCCGAGCAACCTGCAATGGAATTTCCAATTAAATGGCATACTGGGCTGTCTTTTATCATACCACCGAAGAAGCAGTAGCACAAAGATGAGAAAATAAAAGCAAATTTTGAAACACGGACGTAATTTGCAAAAAGTAAATTTCAAAGAAATTGAAGACATCTTTCAGGTTAAAAGGCTCGAGAATCTCATTATTTACACTTCAATTACTTCCCTTAGCAAATCAACAATGATTTGTTTCTTTCACCCAAAAGCAACGAGAAATTTCTGTTCATATTCACTGTTTCTCGTTTTCCTTTTTCTGAAGAATTCACGGCTGGATCAATATAACATTTTATCCAAACCCAACTAGAAACAAGCTTTTCAGATCTTAATAAACAGTTCGTTCAGATTTAGAAGCATTGTCCATCAATCCAAATAAAATTCCACAACCGTACATCAGGTTTTCATAAATAAAGCACGACAAGTTATAAAAAAAAAAAAAAAAAAAA